TGAATGGATATGGTAACATAATATATACTGGTTATATACTAATATAAACGCAACATATACCATCATATATGCAAACCATAATGATGGTATATGTATTGTTTATATTTTCATGATTTTACTAAATATAAACCACACATATGCCAAAAATATACTGAATATAAACGATACATATAACAGGGGAAAACGATACAAAACACGATACAATATGAGGGGATGAAAATATATCGAAAATATACTGAATTTAAACCATACCAGGGTAAAAAAAATTCACACACACAAAACACCAAATTTCAAATGAAATCGTTGATCAAGCAGTAGAAAAAAAAAAAAGTTTTCATTGCAGCCTTATCATCCCGTACCTCTGTTCACTTTTCACGAGCAGCCAATCAAAGGTCTACGCACGGGATAAAATTTGAACAGTTCCCAGCCCTTGTTCGAATTTGCAGAGGTCGTGCAAATATGTTGAGTGATTTTGTCTCTTTGTAAATAAATATTAATTGAGTGTAAATCCTCCCTATATATTATTCCCGAATGCGCTGAGCCTACATGGCTGTTTCTGGTGCTTCGGAATCCTACTTGGCAAAGAATCATGCTTCGTAATTAGGTTTGGACAAATAATATTAAAATATTAATAATTAATAATATAGGTTCGGACATTCCATAAATATTAAATAGCTAATTTAGGTATTTTAATATCACTTGTACTAATATAACCCTTTAATTCTTTGTAATTTTACATAGTGAGATATTAAGTGACTAATATATCCCTGACTTTGATTTGTTTCCTTCAATTAATTATTTAATTGTAAATGTATTTTAAAAGTTGATAACTTTTGTATTTCTTATCGGTTTTACATATATAATATATCAAATTAATCATCTTTTGATGATCTTCGATTTAGCATCCATATTGTATATATAAAATAAAAATTATATTTATCTTTATAATAATAAAAAATAATAGCATTTATTAAAATTCATTAGAAAAATAAAATTATTTCTCAATTGATATATTTATGTTTAATGTAGTTATATGTTGTAAGTTAAAAATTATTGTAATATAACACAAGTAAGTCGCACAAATAAAAAGTGTCATACTAAATATATAATAATATACATATATATATTTATAATAGGTATTTAAATTTTCAATTACTTTTTCTCATTGATTTTAGATTTTAAGAAAAAATTAGCAAGTACCCGTGTAATACACGGGCGTTGTACTAGTATGTAATATAAAATATATTTGATAGTATGGGGTGTAAATTCCTCAATAAAAAAGCTACAATAAAACTTATCAATAAAATGAAAAAAAAATAAAAATAGAATTTTCAGCATATTCACATGGCTTTCCAAGATATTCCAGATCCAATTTCAGACTCAACTCTTGATTTAGCAATAATGCTGTAAATATGAGGAAATAGTCAAATATAATTAGAATAAATGGCAATATTTACTTATTAAAACATAATAATAATAATTCGATACATCAGAAATATTCATATATATATATACGAGTAGGTGAGTATGCTATTACAAACTGCAATTACGTACTAAAATTTTGTGATGTTATCTAAATACAATATAATCTCAAGTATTTAATTAATTTATAATATTCCTGAAATATGAAATTCAAAAAATTCAAATCATTCAAGATTATATTAATATATATAATTCCATAGGATTTATAAACAAAACAGAAAATGGTGCACCTAACCCTTATATAAACCGGTCTCAATCACACGACAATACAACTCGATACATCATAACTTAGCTATTAGATTTCATACTTCTCTAAAATTTTTCTCCAATTAAATTTGTTAAAGGTCTTAAAAAAATGGCAAAACAACAATCTTCTTCTGCTGCTACACTTGTATTCTTCTTCATGCTCGTCTCTGGTACAAACTACAAACTACAAATTACTCGATTGTACATTGTTTTACAAGAAATGCTACAATCCCGGTACGGAACCATTCCGCGGGATTTGTAGCCGTTAGATCATCATGTAACCGTAGTTGATAGTTGATCTAACGATTACCAACTCTGACGGAATAGTTCTGTAACGGGACTATAGAATCTCCCTGGAAGGCCCACGAATTTGATAGAATATTTTTTGATTCGTCGCAGGTTGTGTGGCCCGATGGCCCACGTGCGAGATGGAGATACCTACGAACTGCGAATCGGCATCTCCGCATAGGTCATGCTTGAACACGTGTTCGAGCAACATTGGTGGAAACCTCGTGGTTGACGCATACTGCAAACGTACGCAAGGAGGGAGCCGCGGCAAAAGCATTTTCGTCTGTCAATGCTTCTTCCTTTGCCCTCCCCAAAAGAGATAATTTAATTTAAAAAAATAAAAATGAAAAAAAAAAATATATTGGTAATGTATAAATTTCCATTTTTTGTCACCTGATGATAATCATCTGGCATAATATTATTATCAAATTTAATATTTGAGTTGGTTTGCCAATGTAAATTAAGTTCAAGAAAGATAAAATGGTAACACCATATGGATAAAATGGTTGACCGTAAACATAAAGTTTAAAAATCGACCTTTCCCCCCTTCCCCTGCATCAACATGCAAATTGGGTGGTCGCTGAGTAAAACAACTACTTATTTCAAGATCTTTGGCTTGCAATGTAACATATATAGTAGGTACTTGAAACAATTCGGCAACATTGTGCAAGTCAGATTTAAAAAGAAATTTTTTATTTTTCCAACTCTCTATTTTAATTGGTCAAGAAGTGAAATCAATAGTCACACATATATTTGTCTCCACAAGTAATGTCGTGGACTCTATTTAAAAAGTTTTCATACGACAAACTTTTCGGACGCATAAAGTTCATATATGTCTGCCCATTTTCATACACATTCACATCCAAAAATCTTCTATGCACAATTTGGACCTTGCACACGACATATGTAAGAAAAAAAAAAAAAGTATTATAGTCACAAAATAATGCAAAATTTTTTTTTAGGAGAACCTTTAGGTAATCAATGTCCTATTATACAAATAATGAATTCCATAAATGATTTTTGGAATCCCAGAAACCATCTCTTGAGTTCTAGCACTTCTGAAAAAACGTAAATAATTTCTTGAATACTAGATATGATATTTGTAATTTTGGAAA